ATGGAATTAGGAAATAACTCTAAAACAAGATAAGGTTACAGAGTTTAGAATATTGGCATCAGCCAAATGCTGGCCAAATGAGAAAAATAAAGGGATATGTCATTATTTGGAATCACGCAGTTCAGAAATAAGTACCACAAGAAACAGGATTAAGAAAACATTCACTTGGGGTCTTGGGTATTTATATTCCAGTTGTCAGGAGAAACGTATGGTACAAAGTGTGGGGACCTAAAAGCCCCACCTTGCATAGGTCTGAAAGGAAGTTACGGGGGGCATGGCCTGGCTTGCTTTGAAAGTCTGGAGAATACTTCCGCACTGCTGAGGAGTGCATGATCAATGCATGACCATCCTTAAGATACACCCTTGGGGGGGGATTTCCAGGTGCCTTTATAAGCTCTGTAACACCTGTAATAAATGAGTCCCTGCTTGACTAGACTCCCTGTTGCGTCTGAGTGTCCCCAGTACTGGGGGTGGCATGGGCTGGTGAACGGCGTGCTTACTCATCCCCAATCATCACTGTGCCAGGGGTCACTGGTTCAAACACCCGGCAGGAGCTTTCTTCCTAGGGGGGTTATGGGCACTTCCTACAGGAGGGAACAGGAGCTGAGAGTGGTGAGTTGAGGGAGCAACAATCTCTCTCTGCTTCTGCCCACTGTGGTCTTTATCTCACAACTTCCTCCTGTGGTTAAAGGACCCTACTCTGGGGCCTGCTTTGGTCCCCGAGTACTATGCATTTGTGTGGTCCTTGTTCAGCATCTGTCACCATAGGGTTACAGGACTCTTTCTGTTTGGCCTGGTGCTCCTTAAGGGCCAATCTGAGCCCACTCCCTGTGCTGGGAACAAGGGTCAACATGGAGTGATTGTTGGTATGTGCCTGAGCCTTAGTTTTTACGTCTGGCTGATATAAGGGGGCACTCTGATAATCAGCTCTGAAATGGCTGTAAGCTGTTCCACTCTGCCTGTCCTGGGGCCTCTATTAGTTCAACTATGGAGGGCTAGCAGTCCCATGCTGGTAGCATGTGGATGTGTGCATGCGTGCGTGTGCGTGTGGGTTTTGTGTTTGTGTATATGTAGATGTCTGTGGGTACATGTGCACATGTGCGCATATGCGTGTGAAGGCCAGAGTACAACCTCAGGTGCTGTTCACCTTGTTTTTTGAGATAAGGTCTATCACTGGCTTGGAACTCACGGATTAGGCTAGGCTGACTGGCCAGTGAGCTCCAGGGTCCACCTGTCTCCTCCCAGGTGCTGGGATTACAGATGTGTGCCACAAACCGAATATTTTTCGGGCTCTGGGGGTTGGACTCAGTTCCTCATGGACTTTACCAGTGGAGACATCTCTCTAGCTGCCTCCCTCATCTGTGAACATGTCTCACTTGTTGGCATTGCCCAAGACCTGTGGACTCACCTCAAAGTTGACATGTCCATTAGGAAGGCGGTTGGCACAGCCCTCGTTGAGGAAGTAGATGTCTTTGATGAGCAGGCTGAAGAAAGGGATGACAATCTAGAAGGGAGAGGGTACAGGTCAGCCCTCAGGTAGCCTGTCTGTGGGGTTGGCACAAGGCTGGAGGCAGCCTTGGCAGTAGCCCAGGCTCCCCAGGGACTTCTGATACAGCCCAGAAAGGCTTCTTGTCTGGAGAGCCTGGCTATCTCAGGTGCTCGTATGTTATATGGCCATTGGTCAGCATCCCATTACTGTGACAAGATTCTCGAGATAAGCAATTGCATTAGTTAATTGTCTCATCACTCTGACAAAAACCTGACAAAAGCAACTTAAGGAAGGAAGGGTTTATTGTGGATCCCAGTTTGAGGGTGCAGTCCATCATGACAGGGAAGGCATGGCAGCAGACATGTGAGGCAGCTGGTCACGTTGCATCTACGACCAGGAAACACAGAGAGATGAATGCTGATGCTCAGCTGTCTTTTTAAAAAAATTATTTTATGTGTATGAGTGTTATGTCTGCATGTAAGTGCACCCATGTTGTATAATGCATGTGGAGGACAGAAGAGGGTATTGGACCCCCTGGAACTGGAGTTATGGATGGTTGTTAGCTGCCATGTGGGTGCTGGGATTCAAACCCAGGTCTTCTGCAAGAGCAGTCAGTGTTCTTAACCACTGAGCCATTTCTCCAGCCCCTCGTTTTCTCTTTTGATTTCATCCAGGACCCTAGCCTATGGAATGATGCTGCCTATATTCAGGGTGGGTCTTCCCTCCTCAATTAAACCTCTCTAGAAGCTCCCTTATAGTTACAGAGGTGTGTTTCCATGGTGATTCTAAATCCCATCAAGTTGAAAAATCAAGACTAACATCACAGCAACATAAAGGAAGAAATGCTTATTTTGGCTCCTGGTTGCAGAGGTTCCAGCCCATGGTCAGCTGTCTCCATTGCTTTTTGGACCTGTGGCGAGGCAGTGTGTCATGGTACAGCAAAACTGCTCACTTCACAGAAGCAGGAAGTCGGGGGAGGGCAGGCCCATAGAGCACCAATATTTCCTTCAAGGGCATACCATCCCAGTGACCTAACTTCCTTCCACTGGGTCCCACCTCCTGAAGTATCTCTCATTAGCACCACAACTGGTGACCAGGCTTTACTTAGTGTACAGACATTTAGGGGAAGATTTAAGATCCAAATCTTATAACACAGACTAATGATCAAATGCTGGAGGGGACAATGTGCAAACCATAAAGTAGGTAAAGGATCCCTAGCTTTGGGGTTAGACCGTGCCCCCACCCCCAGGCCCCATTAGGCACCAGTGTTGACTGATTTACTACTGTGTATAGTAACACTCTCCTACCTGTTGGGGTCTGGTGAAAGATGCACAGTTACAACCCTTGAACGTCTCTTCCATCCCTCACTGGAGGGTCTTGTAGGACCTCCTGTGTCCCCATCCATAGGAGGGGGTCCACAGGCTCAGGACTCTGGCTCATGTGTCCCAGGAGCTGTGGGTCATATGAGCATACCATAGAATGGATAGGAGCTGTCTGTTCTGAGATGTTGCAGCTTCTTACTCTTTTTAAATTATTTAAGAATTTATCATCCCGTACCTTTCATGATCCTGGTGCACTGTGGTGGGACCAGAAGCAAAGGACCTTTGCTGTGTTTCCTGAATGGAGAGGCTTCTTAAGCCTGTCTCCGAAGGGCTCATGTGTGTCACTGTGTCTTGATGGCATGCTCTGCTGTCCCTGCTCCATCCCTGCTGCCTGCTACCTCTAAGGGAAGGGAGAGGAGAGCACCTACTGACTGCTGAGTCCTCTTCTCCCCAAGGAGCCTAAGTGACTCTGCCTTGCTGCTGTGCATTGAACTGCAGGATGGTCTGGGTACAGTTTGTGTAAAGACCTGCAGGGCTCATGTAGTGGAAGCTCAGACTTCAATGTGGTGATGTGGAGAGTTGGTGGAACCTTTAAGTAGACATTAGGTCACTGGGGGTATTGTCCTTGGGAGGAATTAATATAGTTTTTATGGGACCCAGGTCAGTTCTCCTCAGAGGGCTGTTATATTTTTAAAAAGAGTAAATCCCTCCCTGCTTTCTGGCTTCCTTTCTCTCCGTGTGCTCTCTCCCTCTTACACAGAGAGCCACTACGATACCATCTACCACATGACATGGTCCCAAGCTGAGCAGATATTGGTATCAAGCTCATAAACTCCAAAAGTATGATTGAAATAAATCTCTTTTCTTTATAAATTACCATGCCCCAGGTATTTTGTTATAGCTATGAATGAAAGGCTAATGAAATTATGTCTATGCAAAGGTATGCTCAAGCCTTAAACCCTGGTGACTATGTACCTGATCTTATTTGGAGATGGAGTTTTACTTGATATGATTGAACTAAGATGAGATTTTACTGAATTAGTGATAAATGTCCTTATAAAAAGAGGGAAGTGTGTACACTACAGTGAAGATGAAGGCAGAGACAAGGTGATGCTGCCTCGGTGACGGCTGAGGAACCTGGGGCCATCGGCTGGAAGAAGCGAGGACTCTCCCCAGAGCTTTTGGAAGTAGTGTGGCCTTGTTGACATGCTGACTTTTACCTTCTGATCTCTGGGACTGTGTGAGAGGATCCCTTCCTGTTGTCTATGGTGCCTTGGGGCTGTACTTTTTACAGTAGTCCCAGAGAACCAACACCCTCTATTCCCTTGACCTCTGCAGTAGGGCCAAGCTCCTACATACCTATATCCTCCTTTGGACCTGGATGGTAGACCCTGGCACTCCTGGTTTAGGGAGTTCTCAGAGCACCCATATCTAAGTTAAATGGAGCTTTGAGATGAGAACCCAGACACTGGCCACCTCACAAAGCACAAAGGTACTGGCAGCTCATCAGGAAGGGCAGGAGCAGAAGCTTGGTCCTCCATGTGGTGATGCAAAGGGGTGGTGGAGTCTTTAAGTGACCATTCAGTCATTGGGGATGCTATCCTTGGAGAGCAACAGGCCCTAGCTCCAGGTTCCCAATGCTGACCCCCTAGGCCAGGACTATACCTAGATTTAGTAGGGTGACAAACTTTCTTGTTTGCCCAGGGTTGAGGGATTTCTTAGCGTGCAGGACTTTCTTTGCTAAAACCATGATGGTCCTAGGCACACTGAATGAATTAGTTACCCTAGATTGATGTCATATAAGCATTTTCTCAGGTCTTTCCTGCTCCAGTGTTAGGGCTTCAGGGACACCAAGGGAGCATCAAACATCTATTCCTGATCTGTGATGGTTCATCTTCATTGTCCACTTGACTGGATTTAGAATCACCTAGGGATGTACCTCTGGGCAGCCTGTGAGGGTGTTTCTACCAGTGGGCGGTGTGTGAAGGTACTTCTTAGGAGACTTAACTGAGGAGGGGAGACCCACCCTGAAGTGGGTGGTATCATCCCAAGAGCTGGGGTCATGTACTGAATGAAAAGGAACAAAGCAGAGGGTGAGCTGAGCACCAGCATTCACCTCTCTGCTTCCTGACCATGGATGCAATGTGACCAGCTGCCTCATGTTCCTGCTGCCACTGCTAAGAGCTGCTCTCATGGCCACACTTCCCTACCACAATGGACTGTGTCCCCGAAAACCGTGAGCCAAAGCAACTCCCCCCTCCCTTGTATTGCTTCTTTTTTAAAATTTATTTTATTTTTTTAAATTTTATGTGTATGAGTGTATTTCCTACATGTTTGTGAGTGCACCCATGTCATGCAGTGCCGTGGAGGTCAGAAGAGGGCTTCGGATTCCCCTGGAACTGGAGTTAAGGACGATTTGTAGCCACCATGTGGCTGCTGGGAATCAAACCTGGGTCCTCTGCAAGAGCAGTCAGAACTCTTAACCACTGAGCCATCTCTCCAGCCCCTTATATCGCTTCTTATTGGGTTTTTGGTCACAGCAATGAGGAAATCAACACAGGACCCCAGTACAGTAAGAAACAGTTATAGGAATAACCTACAAAATGAGGATGGTGGAGGCTGGACAGTTGGCTCAGCAGTTAAAAGCACTGACTGCTCTTGCAGAGGACCTGATTCGATTCCTAGCACCCACGTGGCAGCTAACTACTGTTCATAACTCTGGCTTCAGGGGATCCAACACCCTCTTTTGACCTCTATGGGCATTGTACCACACAGATGCACCTACCCACATGCAGGCAACTGACTCACACACAAAAATAAATAAATAAATAAATAATAATTAATTTTAAAAAATGAGGATGGCTTGTCTGGGAAACCTTTGCTAATCTCTTCTCCCCACATCAGACTGGATTTAATCCATGTCTGTGCTCCTAAAGAGCCCTCTACTTATGTCCTTATCAAAAGCACATCAGTGGTATGCCTGAGAACTTCAGCTGTGTATAAGATCACATTTCCTCTTTACCTGGATCCTGGGAAGCAGGTCCATTTTACAGCTCAGAGAGGTTAAGAAACTTGTAGAGGTTCACAGAGCAGGAAGTAGCAGAAGTAGGACTGGGACTAAGTGGCCCCAGAGTCACGCCCTCCCTATTTCTTCACTGTGTAAGGGAAGGAGGCCTTGTCTGCCTCCTGGTGTTGAGCCCTTCCCCCGAAGACATAGAAACTGTCTATACAGATGTGGACTCTTTGTAATTGCAAAGCTAATGTCCTTGCTGTTTGGTCTTGAGATGGAACCCAGTCCAGTATGAAGGACAATAAAAGAAATTGGTTTGTGACAGACTTGGAGAGAGGGACGGATAGAAGCTGGCCACAGACAGGATGGAAGCATAAAGTGCCATGGCCACTGAGATCTGGTCTTCACAACATCAGCTAGGGTTCTAAGGAACTGAGATCCTCTCTTAAGTACACATCTATACATCATCAATCTGTCTATCATCTATCCACCCATCATCCATCCATCCATTAGCCATCTATTCCATCTATCCATCTATTCATTATGCATCTACCTATCATCCATGTATCCATCATCCATTTACCCATCATCCATCCATCCATCCACCCATCCTTTTATCTATCCTTCCTCCTTTTCTTTTCCATCCACACAGTATTCCCTGTGGGCCCAGTCCACGGTCCATATCTCTCTAGAAGCTACAAGAGAACGCACTTAAGTGAATGCACATTGTAAGTCATTCACCTACATCCCCAGACCTAAAGACACAGCATCCCGGCATTCCAGAGCTGGAAGTGGATTCATGAAGTTCCAGTCTGTCTATTCTGCCACATGACATTCTTGCCTCAGTATGGGTAAGAGAAAAATAGTGCTGAGAGCTAGCGTTTCAGGAGGGTCTAGGAAGGGTGAAACCTCTGACTTTGGGGTCTTCTCTCTTACCTTCTCCCGGCTGCTGTGGGCAGTCAGAGAGCGGTGGGCTGCCCCTCGAAGGGCTGTCCTGTAGTTGCAGAAATTCCCCGTTGGGTCCATCTGGTGCTGGAAGACAGGGAGGCATCTGAGCAGTTCTGTCCAGAGACCAGCTGGCCACATCCCTTGGCCTGTAGCCCTGTTTACCTCCAGAATGAAAAACTTGGCTGTCTTCACTTTGGCCCAAGTCTTCTTCAGCCTGGAGACGGGGCTCATGTTCATACCAGCTGGAAGAAGGAGTGCAGGCTGGGAGGGCTCCTCCAGCTCCCACGGGCAAGGAGGCCTCAGTATGTCCCAACCAGGGCTGAGGTTGCAGTGGCCTCAATCTCCCAGCCAAAGGGTAGGTGGGTGGGCAGGTGCTGGTTCACCTTCTATTGAGGTAGACTTGGGTATACGCCGACTCTGACCCTGTCCCAACCACATGGGCCCACTTTGGTTCAGTACCTGCTTTGGTCCCCTCATTCTCTCTGGCTCAGGGCACATACTGCCCTACCTTTCCCATGCACCTCAAGGGGGCTGAATTTTCCTTCTGTAGTCTCTGGGGCAGGGACATGAACTGCTGGCTACTCATCCCATACATACTCATGGCAGAGGAGGGACCTGTCCTGCACCCCACCTGCTGGCTGTGCCCACTCCCACCTCTCTGGCAGGGAGGGTCCTCACACAGGAAGCTCCAGGCCCAGGCCAGTTCACTCACAGATAATGGCCATGAGGGAGTTGAAGTTGCCGATGTTGAAGCACTCACGGGCCACATCAATGAAGAACTCGATCACCTGAGCCCTCTGCTTCTTCTTGGCTGGCTAAGGACAGGATACCAGAGCCTCAGTGGTCCTGTGTTCCTCTGCTGTGCTGATCAGACACCCCACCCAACCAGCATGATCCTCTTGGCCTTCTCTAAGCCCATTTCACAGCTGAGAAACATGAAGTCCATGGTGTCAGGGCTCTTGGGAGCACAGCCTGCACAGTCCACAGGTGTGGAAGGCAGATGGGGCCCAATGGGCCAGAAGCCACCTGCAGCACTGGAGGGGCTGTGAGCCATCTTCAAGATGGTGCTCCCCCAAGGCCTCACTTCTACTGGAAGCCAAGAGCATCGCCGTTCCTTTCTTCCCTGCACTGAGCTTGCTCTCCTCACTGGGGGCCATACAAGGGTCTGGGCTCTGTTCTGTTCTGTGGGCTGCCCCTCTACTGCTTTTTATCAAAATCCCTCCCACAGGGCTAGAGAGATAGAGCAGTAGTTAAGAACCCTGACTGCTCTTGCAGAGGACCCGGGTTTGGTTCCCAGCACCCACATGGCAGCTTACAACCTTCCGGAACTCCAGTTTCAGGGAATCTGACACCTTCTTCTGACCTCTATGGGCACTGCATGGCATGGGTGCACTTACACACAGGCAGGCAATATACTCATTCATATAACAAAGTAAAATAATAAAATTTTTTTTTGTTCTTTTTGAGACAGAGTCTCCCTGTAGTCTGTAGCCCCAGCTGGCCTGGAACTCACTATGTAGACCAGGCTGGTCTTAAAGTCACAGAGATCCACCTGCCTCTGCCTCCCAAGTGCTGGGACTAAAGGCATGTGCTACCATGTCCAGCAAAATAATAAAATATTTTAAAAAACTCCACCCACAACAGGGGGCATTAATGCATGTCTCAAAAAGGCCAAAAAAATTCTGTAGAATTTTAAAAATATTTTATTTATTTTTATTTTATGAGTGTAAGTGTATTGCCTGCTTGTGTGTAAGTGCACCCGTGTTGTGCAATGCCCTTGGAGGTCAGAAGAGGGTGTTGGATCCCCTGGAGTTGTAGTTACCGATGGTTGTCAGCTGCCATGTGGGTGCTGGGAACAGAACCTAGGTCCTCTGCAAGAGCAGTGAGGCATCTCTCCAGTCCATGATTAAGTTTTGAAAAATTATAGTTCATAATTTTTACATTCAGAAAGTGATTTAAAAAAAAACGCTTCACTGGAAATTGGTGTCTGGGTAAAACCATTCAAGTCACTCAGAACACAAAATGATCACATTCAAAGCAAGACTGACAGAGTGAGACTTGTTTAGATAACTCGCACTTTCCAAGTATCATTTGCTAATTGCACAAACAACAGCATATCTTTAGATTATTCTGAATATACTAAATTTAAAAAATAATGGGGACTTGGTATTCAACAAAATAAAGAACTTAGGAATAGATTTATTTTGAATCTCATCTTTGGTCTAGACTTTTTATGTGCAATTTTGCAGGTCTTAAAGTTTGGACCATTTTTATCTCTAAGTCCTGGCAAGCTAAACAACCAGATTGCTGGAAGCAGACAGACCCAGACCGAGGCACAAAGCAGCCTACTCCTCAGCAAACAGTCTGACTTCCTCTGTGGCTTTGGCTGGTGGATTCATCCTGAGCTCTACCTAGAAGGGACATTTCAGTAGTGGGAAGAGGTGAACCTGGGCTGGGAGGGGATTTCGGCCAAGCCCTGGGCTTGTGGATGGATGGTCAGGACTTAAGCCATCTTTCTAACCTTCAGGTGGCCTCTGGCCGGCAGGCCAGGCCAAGCAGTTTTCCTACTCACCATGCAGATCTCAGTGGCCACAAGGTAACACAGTCTGTTGAACCATTTCACATACGCTTCCACGTTGTTCGTCTTATCACTGAAGCAGGGCTAGGAAAGACACATGGGCTGAGTGTCCTTGTTGATGACTTTTTAGAACATAGAATATGGTCATGGTCCTTATAGACAACTTGGACAATGTGATGATCTCAAAGTTACCCAGAAACACCAGTTGGTGTTGGTCTTGGTCTTTTTCTTATATACGTAAGTCCCTGAGTTCATCCTCAGCATCACAGCAGGGGTGGGGAGACATAGAGGAAGGCTGGGGTATAGTTCTGTGCTATGGTGCATACTCAGCACATGGGAGGCCTGGGTTCCTTTGACAGCACCAAATGATGCATGAATGCATGAATAATACAGTTGTAATTCAAAGTGATGGGTATGTACACAGAGAATAGATCATTATTATTCATAGATTATGCATTTGCAAATTTGCCTAAATTTATTTTTCTTTAAATTTATCATTTTTTATTTTATGTGTATAAGTGTATTGCCTGCATGTATGTAAGTGCACCCATGTCATACAATGCTTGTGGAAGTCAGAAGAGGGTGTCAGATTTCCTTGGAACTGGAGTTCTGGATGGTTGTTAGCTGCCATGTAGGTGCTGGGACTCAAACCTGGGCCCTCTGCAAGAGCAGCTAGTGCTCTTAATCTCTGACCCAACTCTTCAGGTCCTTAAATTGTATTTGTAATTCCAATAGCTTGTATCTCTTTCTAGTTATTGGTGCACAGGCATAGAGAGGCAAAGTATTTGAGCCAGTCAACTTACTAAGTATTTCCAGCCGAGGTTGGACTAAGGGAAGTTGTGCTATCTCATTTGGCTCCTACTGTGAGAAGGATCCTTCCCCATCTAGTCATCGTTTTTTCTTTCATTTTTGAGCTTCTTTGGAGGGGGAGTATTTGAGCATTTCAAAAAGTTTCCAAGCATAGTACTGAGTGAGATCTTTTGTTCTGAAGCACACAAAGGCTATGGTATATCCTATAGAGAAAATATGTGCTAGATAACCTCCATTCATCTATGAATTATATAGATACACAAACTTGTAGATACATATTTTCTTTTTGTGGTGCTGGGGCTGAAACCCAGGGCCTTGTGCATGCTAGGCAAGCCCTCCATCACTAGTCTGTACTCTCAGCCCCAGGCATGACGAGTTCTGCTTGGCTCCTTGCCATGAGTTCAATGTTAATCAGCAATACACACATATTAGATAAGGTGTCTTTTGACATAAGCACATAAAACAAGGTTGAGTGTTGGTTGCTTATAGAAAATGTTGACATGAGAAGTTTCAGGAATCTAATGCTGTATGTCCCCTAGGCAGTGACTTAGGATTTGCTAAGTCATGTTTGTGATGGCATTCTAGAACATAATTACTGTGAATAATGAGAATCAACTCTATAAATGTATGTATCTATGCAGATATGTATTTCCATAAGTTTCCACTTGAGCCTTTTCTTGGGTCATAAAATATTTGGAGAAATAGTTTTTAAGTTGATGCAGAACATTCCATATGTGGTACATACATGTGCCATCATTTGAAAGATTAAACTTGTGGCTGGAGAGATGGCTCATCAGTTAAGAGTACTGGCTACTCTTGTAGGGGACCCAGCTTTGGTTCCAGCACTCACATGGCAGCTAACAACTGCCAGTAACTCCAGTTCCAGGGAATCTGATGCCCTCTTCTGATCTCTGTGGGCACTGCATGACACAGGTGCACTTACATACATACAGACAATATACTCAAACATAAAAATAAAAACAATAAATAACATTTAAAAGGATTAAAATTTAAGTTAATTAAATGTGTATGTTAAAACTTCCAGGATAATTTTCAATAAATAGGGGGGAAAGATGGAATTGGGGCCCTGTTAGTTAAAAAAAAGTTAAAGAAGGGAGGAAAAAGAAATTGGAAAATAAGAGAATGAGTATCACAATAGAAGTCACTGAGAAAAATTTTTGTAGAGCAGTAATTATAACAAACCACTGTGATTAAAAAAATCCTCCTTCTTGTCCTTTTCAGTCAAGGAGACGAATTTACATAACAGAAAATTGCATATGCAATAAATATAGCACAGCTATTCAGAGGACCCTGACTTATGATGGTTCAACAATAAGTTTTTAATTTTATGGTGGTCTTATCAGAATGCGAACCCACGAAAAGACAAGAAGCACCTGCAACATTTAGACAAAAGATTTGAAGACAAAACATATTGTATGGGGGAAAAGCATGACAGAAGAGATTAAGGGAAAATACACAGTCATAAGAGGTTCAATGTATAAGGCAAATGTAATGAGTCTAAATTTGTTTGTGCTATGTAACATGTCTTCAAAATAAGGAGGTAGGCCTGGTGAGTTGGTAAAGTGCCTCCTGTGCAAGCACGAAGACCCGAGTCCAATCCCCAGAACCATCTAAAAAGCCAAGCTTGGTGACGCTTGTGACCCCAGCACTGGAGAGATGGAGACAGGAGGATATGGTTGCTTGATGGCTAGTCAACATGGCCTAACTGGGAAGCTCCAGGCCAATCAATGGGAGACTCTGTCACAGAATAAACAAGGTGGACCACTCCTGAGGAATGATACTGAGCTTGACTGCTGACCTCTACATGTATATTCATACACGTGCATGTGCACTTACATACATGAACACATATCCACATGCACACACACACACACACACAGATATACACTATGGAGGCAAAAGTCATCATAAAGGTTCCCCGGGTGTGGTGGTACACAACTTTAATCCCAGCACTTGGGAGGTAGAGGCAGGAAGATCAGGAAATTCAAAGCCAGCCTCAGCTACATAGTGAGTTCAAGCCCAGCCTGGGCTATATGAGACCCTGTCAGAGAGAGAGAGAGAGAGAGAGAGAGAGAGAGAGAGAGAGAGAGAGAAATGCCAGAGACCACTGGATCCAAACAGAGCATTTGAGAACAGACCTACATAGAAATTTGACAGCTGTTCAAGTGACGGAAGTCAAAGCAAAGTAGGAAGGTAAAGGACATAAATAATGGTACAGAAACTAGTGTTGTCTGAAAGAAAGAAAAAGAAAATGAATCTCTAACTGAAGCCATATGCACAGAATGATTTTTAGATAAAAATGTAAAAAGAAACATAGTAGATTATTTTCATTACCTGAGAGGAAGTGGGAGGATTTATTACCCTCCAAACAAAGCCATAAAGAAAAAAAGTAGTAAATTTGATCAGGGTTAGCAAAGAACATCTGTCCACCAAAAGTCATCATAATGGGATGAAAAGCAAACCAGGGCTAGTGAGATGGCTCAGCAGGTAAAGGCACTTGTGCCAAGCCTGATAATGTGAGTTTGATCCCTGGAACCCACATGGTGGAAGGAGAGAACCAACTCCCATGAGTTGTCCTCTGACCTCCACATATATGCTCTGCCCTATATAAATAAATGTAATTTTTTAAAAAAGAAAAAAACACTCAGCTGGAAGAAGGGACTCTGACAAGGATTGTCACTCGTACATATTTCAAAACAAAATTCCTTAAGAAAAAGAACAAAGCGCCAATAGAAAACATGGCCAAAAAAAGCCAGAAACAGGCCATGTTACAGAGGAGGGAACCAGAAGGGCTGCCATGCACAAGATGATGCTCAGTTTCCAGTGTTTTGAGGATGTGGAGTGAAAACACTTCCCCGTTGGGAGTGTAAATGGATGCAGCCTCACCCAGAGTCTCAGGGGAAGGTCCCCCTGCCTATCCCAGGGTGCAGGAATTACCCTTCCCCGCTATACCAATTAGCAGCAGTTTGAAGTGTGCTTTTTAGGGACTCCTGGGGTCCCTGATACTCTTTCAGGACACAGCTGTTGCGGGGGGGGGGGAGCGCTATGCTGGTACACACGGAGGTCATTTAAATTATATTAAATCTCAGTCCTTGAGTACACACATTTTCACATTTGATGTGACAAACAGGGCCGAGCACAAAGCTCTTCGGCTGTGCACCCAGGGATGACACTTGTCTTAAGGGCGAGCTGAACTGACCACTGTTTTCACCGAATGTCATTTCTACTTGAAGAGACAGGGAAACTCATTATTCAGACTTGGGTGTTTGGCTGATGTGTTCTTGATAAGGAAGAAAACAAACCTGTCACTGTCAGGAAAACAATTCGCAGCATTTGTTGCCAGTGAAAAAAGTTCAAGTATTGAAGAGAAAACATTTGTCCACCTGTGAGCTTGCTGGCTTCTCGGCACTCAAGACTTTTTCACGCTTCCCCTCCCTCTCCTCTTCCCCCGCTTTCTCTTTTCTCATCCCTCCCCCTCCCTCCTCTCTGTCTCTTTCCTACTTCCCTCCCTCTCCTCCTCTGTCTGTCTGTCCTTTCCCTGCCCTGTCTTCTTTCTCCTCTCCCTCCCCTGCCCCTTCTTTTTCCCTCCCCTTTTCCTCTTTTTCCCTCATCCCTCCCCCTCCCTCCTCCTCTCCCCAGCTCCCTTCTCTTTCCCCTCCCCTCCCCCCATTTTTCTCCCTCCTCCCTCTCTGACCTTCCCTATCTCGCCCCATTCCTCTCCCTCCTCCCCTCCCCGTCCTTCGTCCTCTCCATCCACATCTCTCCCCTCTCTTTGCAGTGCTGGGGATGGAACCCGGTGCTGCTCATGCTGGGCAGCACTGGAGCTGCAACTGTTCCCTCCCTTAAAACAAACTAACAAAGAGGCTCAGCTCAGGAGTTGTGCTGATGAACATGAGTTATTGCATAACAAAACGCTCCAACGTTGGGATCTGCTTTACTTAGTGTCTCCATATTTCCCGAATGACCAACGTTTGGTATTACAAAAACACTATTCAAGGTTCATGACAGTCCAATGGATGTCACCATGTATGGAAGTCTCACTGAGAAGTTCCCAGATCTCACATCAGAGTCCTTGAGTCAGTAGGTGTTGAATTTTAGTGTTTGTATTCACCATGAGTTCTCACAAATATCTCCAAACATCAAACATTCCTCAAATTCCCAACTACTTGTTTGTGAGGTTAGAGTTTTCTTTCTTTCTTTCTTTTTTTTTTTTTTTTCCTGCCAATACTGGGGATTGAACCAAGGGCCCTGAAAATGCTAAGTAAGTGCTTTACCACTGAGTTGTATCACCAGCCTTCTAGATTCTTCTCAAATCAAATGATATGTATCAAGACATTGAGGACAAAACTTGATAAGAAAGAGAACCAGGCTGCCTTCTATGCAATCAACCATTAACAGAAATTTGTAAAGATATAAGATGTTGGGGCTGGAGCACTGACCTAATAGTTAAGAGCACTGACTGCTCTTCCAGAGGGTCCTGGTTCAGTTCCCAGCACCTACATGGTGGCTAACATCTGTCCATAACTCCAGTTCCAGGGGATCCAATGCCCTGTTCTGGCCTCTTTCGGTACCAGGCACACAGGCAAACCACTCACACACATAAAATAAAAATAAATAAACTATTTTTTTTAAAAAAAATCACTCTTCTCAGTCATTTTCTATTTCAGAAAAGTTATTTTTATAAAATGTTATAAAATAAAACTATGCGCATATAATAACTTATTATTTGTGAGTATTTTTAAAAGATATCAGGCTTTTTTCTTTTCTTTTTCTTTTTAAGACAGGTTCTCATGTAGCCTAGATTGGTCTCAAACCTGCTATGCAGCCAAGGATGGCTGTGATGATGCAGCACTCCTGAGTGCTGGGGTTACAGGAATACATCACCATACCTGGAGTAGGGCTTCGTGAAAGGCAAGCATTCTACCAACTGAGCTACATCCCCAGCCAAAAGTTCCAGATTTATTTTTGGTTGCTAGTTTCATATGTCTCAAAAATTATAACTTTTATGCTAATGCAATAGAACCAAAAGTTCTTTAAGGCCCTCAATAATTTTTAAGAGTGTAACGGGAATCTGAAATGACTGAGCTGAAAACATTTGAAAAGCGAAATCCTGGAGAAAACGCACACCCATATATATTAGGAAGGATGTGTAAGAATGATCCAGCACGGGACTGGAGAGGCGGCTTAGTGGTTAAGAGCTTGTACTCTTAACCACTCTTGCAGAGGATTAGAATTTGGCTCTAGCATCCATGTGGGACAACTCACAGCCACCTGTAACTCTAGCTCCAGGGGTGCTGACACCCTCTTCTGGCATCTAAGAGCACCTGTACTCACATGCACACACATAAAAATTAAACAGTCCTCTAGCTGGTCATAGTGGCCCCAGCTTGTAGTTCTATTTGAGAGACTGATGTAGGAGGATTACTTGAGTCCAAGTGTCTGATACCAGCCTGAGAAACAGTGAAAACCCATCTCAAACAATACAAAACAATAACCACAAAACTCCTTTCTTAGCCACGTCTCTCGGTGCTTCTGCCCAGCCCCATGGCTGGCTCCCCAGAATAACTCGCATTCTTAGAGATTGTTTGCACAGATACAACACAGATGTGTCCCAAAGCTTTCTTTATCTGTCATTTTATAGTCACACATTCTCATCAGCTTCTACGAGAACAGCCAGCGTTCTTAACTGCTGTGAGCTATCTCTCCGGCCGCTCTTTATCTGTCATTTTATAGTCACACATTCTCATCAGCCTCTCTCTCTCTCTCTCTCTCTCTCCCTCCCTCCCCCTCCCTCCCTCCCTTCTCTGGTTGCTCCACACCTAAACGCTGCCTTTTAGGCTTTTTAAATAATCACACTATTATTAATAATAATTTATTATTTTTTGGCAGGGTCTCACTATGTATCCTTGGCTAGTCTCGAACTCAGAGATCTACCTGTCTCTGCTTTCCTAGTTCTGGGATTAAAGGTGTGCACCACCAGCAGCTGTAAGAGTGTCACATTCTATCGATGAAGGTATTGTATTCTTTAATCCAGTCTCTGTGAATGACAAGGTCATTTGCTTGTCTTTGGTCACAATAAATGCCATGTATTCCAAATATCTTTATGTGTGTATCTCTGTGTACATGAATGTGTATATTTGTAGGATAAATTACTAGATGGGGAACATTACTAGGTAGGTGTACATTTGCTTATTTGGTGCCTTCCTGCTTGGGAGGCAAGCTCTCCACCTACCCTTGAGCTCCAGCCTAGCCCAAGGCTACACATCTGTATTGTGGATGTCTCAGCTCACCTACCCCACAAAGTCGAAAAGTCTTGTGTCCTGTACCAATGGCTTAGAGAGCCTTGTTTCCCTCCACAGCCATTGTGTGTCTATCCTAAGATGCCATCCTTGCTTGTCTGAGAGACAAAAAGACAATTATATACCACAGCATTAAATTTGTGTTTCTTTTATTATGGTCCAGGTGTAAGACAGGATATTTCCAGCTCTTGCTTGGATCTAACCAGTTGACATCCTACCCTGGTGGCTAGGTCCCTAGAAGAGAAGGACTTGCTCCAAATCCAGATGTGTGGAAACTAATCCCTAGGGATTCAGGTTCTACTTAATCAGTTCTCAATTTACCCCCTGCTGGGGGCACCAGCTGGCGCTTCCCCGATTGACCACTGGAGGGCACCCGCGACCACTGAAACAGACCCTAGGACCGCAGGTTCTGAGCGCTGGGAGGTGCACCTTCTCCCACTCAGGGACGCAGGATTCAAAGCACGCACAGAGACAGCTGGGCTCCCCGGCCTCTGCCCTGAAGGGTATGTCCAGTCCAATCTCCATCTGAGCTGGAGGGTGCCTTTCAAGCCCTCCCATCTCGCTCAGGGTCGTATCAAGGGATGCCCTCCAACTCTCCCCCATGGTGGATGCCACTGGGTGAAGACCACTGTTGGGTCAGCCCTTCCAAGTAGCTTTACCTTTGTGCTGGCCAGAGGGTCCTTGTTCACAAAAGCCTGGACAAACTCTTCGGGCCCAATGTGTCGCAGTCGTTCCTGAGAGGGAAGGAAGAAGAGTCGGAAAAGAGGGAAGGTGTGGGGAGGGGGTGCAAGCTGGGAAGCAGTAAAGGCACTGTAGGGGTGTCTCTGCCCCTACCTCCTGTCTCTCCGTGGGTCCTTTGGCCTTTGCACCACCAGGTGCTAGGGACTAGGCTGGCGGATCCCCTTTTTACTAGCTTAAAGGAGGGCTTAGGTGCTGCTCTGGAAAGCTAGAGAGCACAGTGTGTGGTGTGTGTGGTGTGTGTGGTGTGTGTGGGGTGTGTGGGGTGTGTGTATGTGTGTGTATGTGTGTGTGTGTGTGTGTGTGTGTTCTTGATGGAGAAATTGAGGGCTCAGGTGGGAAAGTCCCTAAGCCTGGGAAGAACTCTGTGTGGCATCAGAGCCAGAGTCTGAACCCAGTACCTCTGCCCACGACCTAGACCCCCAGGCAGGTAGGCCAGGGGCTGACAACACCAACCCTTCTGTCCCAGGCCCAAGAATGCTGAGGGACTGCTCCAGTTCTACAGATGCCCACTGGTCACTGAGTCTGGGTCCTGGGTCCTGGGCTGCACTGAGATCAGGAAGGGCAGATGGGATGGGGGGGGGGGACTGGCTACTTCCAAATGCTCTTTTCCCTGGGTCCCACTCACCAGCTCCACGTGGGTCAGCTGCTGGGCCAGTGTGTAGGGGTCGCTGCAGACCCCTAGGAGCTCCCTATGGATGGAGGCTGGTGGCTTGGTCTTGTAGGAGATGGGCTTGTCTGCCCCTAACAGGCCTTGTGTTCCCTGGCCCAGTGATGCCAACTTCTGGTGCAGAGCCTGTAGGAGCTGGTGCATCCTGTTCCGGTAGGCCTGGGGTAGAGGTGGGGGGAGAGGGCAGTCAAGCCAGAATACCCATACCTCAACTTCAACCCCAGCCTGTAGGCTCCTCCCTTGCTCCAGAGTAAGTGTGTGTGTGTGTGTGTGTGTGGGTGTGTGTGTGTGTGTGTGTGT